ATATATATATTTATATGTTTATTGTTGCTTCAACGGCATAAAAACATGCTCTCAATATTGCCCAGATCTAACTTTATATGTTCTAGTCCTAAAACCTATTGAACTGCAATGAAATTCTTTAGCAGTTTTCCCGAAATTGCATCGATTCTTGAGCCAAATAAAAATCATTTTGTAATCAATGAGAAATTAGTGGGATGCAGATTTCCTTCATTAGTTCAAGTTCAGCAACTGTTGGCAAAAATGCATTTGGAATCACAGCAGGTTTGGTGTGTTGAGGCCACTGACTGAAATCAACTTAAGGCCAATTTCAAGCTGTCAACGAATCACTCATCATCAATGGTCTGTCTATGGCTCAGCTCGGGACAGCTGAAAGCATTGGCAGCAGCTTGGCAGCTTAGCGGCTCAGTGCATTCGATTGTAACGCAAATGCAATAAAAGCCAACAGTTTGCACTCGCTTTGCTCACTCGCTGGGCAAAGCCAACGAAATGAGGGGCGAATATGTCAAGGGGAGCGAAAGAGTTGAGGAAGTTGAAGAGTTTGCTTATCTAGGATCATCTCTCTTTGTAGAGTAGCTGCGTCTATGCATAGGAAATATTAAGCATCGACTGCTGTCCATCTGGCTGCATTTGCATAACTCAATTTTTCACTTAACCAATTCACAGCGAGCGAGCGAGCGCAGAGACCATCATTACAGTGAAGCAATGCTAATGGGAACTAGTGCATCAGGCATATCATGATGATAATGCTGGCCCCACATAACGGCGACCGAAGCGCCAACAGCACTCGCAATCGAAGCAAACTGAATTGCGCCGAGAACTTAAACTTCCAGAAGCACAGTTGGAAGGAGCAACGACAACACCAGCAACAACAACAGCCACAGCAACAACAGCAACAACAACAACAACAGCAACAGCAACAAACCCAGCCACAGCGACAGCAACAGCGACAATTAGAGACCATTAGCCGAAGGCAGACCAATCAATCTATATTTAGACAGAAGCTGGCGCATTTTCAATTTGCCGATGTGGGCGTGGGCGTAGGCGTGGGCGTTGGCCTGGGTGTGGGTGTGGCGAATGGAGGCTGCAGACGACTGCAGCTGTTGCTGCTGTTATTGATTTGCAATTGCATTGGTAAGTGGAACGGAGCATGTATCGAAGCGTTGCGCAAAAATATCTCGCTTGCCTGCTAATCGTTTATCGATAATTATCGTTCAGCTAACTATCGATAGTCCAGACCTAATCAGAGCCATAAATCAGCCATAGCTGGTTGTCAAATCAATTGACAAATGTTTTCTTTTTGCTAATTGATTATTTATCGATTATTTAATATATTGTTTATTAGGTTAAGGTGAATTAAATTTTAGTTAATTTTTTCAATTTAAATACAAATTTATCAATATGTGTCGCCAGTGATATGATCGATATCTATTATTTTTCATAGCAACAATATATTATTTTTATTTTAGGGTATATATATTTATATCGATAGCTCGATTTTTTTTGGTTATTAAGAAAGGATCAATACTTGGTTTTCCGTTCTATTTTACTGTTTCTTATAAATGTATCGATATTTTTCAAAATGACTTGACTATCGATAGGTTGTTTATCGTTTATCGATACACAAATGAAATATTAGCTTTGCTTTGGCGCCATCGATAGCAAAATCCAAGAGAACGGATATCGATATAGCGCTTGCCTGATGTTGATCGTTCTTTAAATCTTGTTCGATAACTTTCTCACTCAGCACACACGCATACACACAAATTCAAATACAAATACCATCGCACAACACACGCTGACACATACATATACATATATAAATACGTTAATTGTTCAATCAATGTTTTTCTCTTCATTGAAATGAAGATAATTCCGTTTCAAACAAAATCTCCTCAGTGGGCGCCTTCGAGCCGGACTTTGTCATACCGCTGGAGAACGTGACCATCGCCCAGGGCCGGGACGCGACATTCACGTGTGTTGTCAACAATTTGGGCGGTCATCGGGTGAGTGGTGACGGTGCGTCAGTTCCAGCCAAGGTATGTATCGGTTTTAATATCCAAAGCGTTTTGAGTTATTAACCAGACGATAGCAAGTCGTATATCGTATATCGTTTAACGTTTCATTTGCCCAGTACGTTTTTTCGTTCACGATTCGCACCAAAGTTTCACAGTTGAAAGTGCACAAAAAATCTTTTCAGTTTTCTCTTTTCTCTTTTGGAAATGAGTCTAACGAATAAAGAAGCACAAATATCTATATAAAGAGCACCTAACTACCACATATGAAACTAAATATATATATACCGTATAAGTAAATATATCCCACTATATGCTACTATATAATGTTAACAATAATATTAATAATATTAATATTAATAGCACTTTGCATACTCAAAGCACCAAATGCACCTCAACAACAAAAACCGAAACCAAAACCAAGAATTGAATAACTACAGCAAAAACTAATCATAATATAGCGTATCAGAATGTTTGGCTCTCGGACTTAGTCGACTGCACAATACTCGTTCGCAATAGAGAACTAAATGTGGGCAGAAACTAAATAAGATATGGCATTAGCTGAGGATTAAGTCTAGAGAAGTGAAAGATATAGTTGAGCAACCATAAGTAATGGAGATTTTAGTTCAAGATTTGGTATATACTGACATAGATACTTTAAAGTAACTTGGGAATTGTGGAAGATATAGTTAGTATATTAAAAAATACTAAAAATTTTAAGTATTACAGCACTGATCTGATTTCCGACTTAAGCTTGAAGAGGTAGTTTTAGTCCTGGTATAAATTCTTAAAAAGTGCCCAGGCGTCAGTAGTAGGGCACAAATTCACAACCAAAGTTATTCATTGTGAACGAGTATAAAGAAATACCCAAAATAAATAAGTTATACCTATATATATTCATATATAGCACATATGTGAAAATATATACAATAAATACCAACTGGTTAATCTGAATAACATGTATAATAACTAAAAAAAAAAAAAATTGTATTTACATATTAATTGGTATGTATATATAAATATATGATACTCTATATATTGTTTTTATCACATCGTATTATCATTGGCGCCCACATTTAATTTATGCAACAAGACTTGGTAACACAATGAAAGCAAGAGATGGAGCTGAAATGCCAATAGACTGCCCGGCATATTTCATAAAGCGCAAAACCAGAAAAACAAATGCAGCCAAAAAAAGGAGAGAGAAAAAAAGTAATTTAAATAAAATAACAAGAGAGAAAATAAAGCATACACCAAAGGCGCAATTGATCCGCAATTAAAAGGTTTCGTAACTCAATTGAAAACACGTAATCGCTTAAGCCAGTTATGCAATCATTGCCCTAACAAGCTTAGCAACAAATATGCCAGCCGCACGAACAGCTGCCGGCCCGTGGTAGGCCGTTTCGAGTGCTTTAAGAAACTCAGATTTATCTCAGTCCATGGGTCGTCCCTGGCAGTTAAGTCCCTGACGACTCGGCTAGAAGAAAAACCATTTAATTAAAATGGTGTAAGCAAAAACTTTACATCTTGAATGACTTGTAATAAAGCCATTTTCATTTCTCACAACACACAAATTTTCATGTTTTTCGTTCATAAATTCAATTCGTTGAAGAAAAGCAAGTAGCTAAAAATAAAATCAATAAAATTTTATAAAAAAAAAAAATTAAAATTAAAATTAAAATTAAAGTACAGTTTAGTTTGGCTTTACGTATATGAAGATATTAGTGTGAGGTTTTAGTTTAAGCAGTCGGGCAGAATGCTCAAACACAATCCATCTTATAATAATCCCTATTCAATGGATCCTAAAATTCTTGACAATATAACTAAAGATATACACGAATATATACTTCAAATTTCAAGTCTCTAGCTTCATTTTGAATTCATACGAACATTGCACAAAACGAATATACTCCATATATATACACATTTGCCAGGGTATATGCTAGTCACCTCCGCTTAAGCTCTCGTAATTGCATTTTACAATAAAATATCAGAAATCCTGCTAAGGCTAGATAAGCATATCAAAGCTAAAACTAATATTTTTACCGGGAAATTTCTAGAGCTAGTTCCTATATTCAAATAAGCTTTATTGATTCTAAAAGCGGCGAAAAATAAATCAAAAAGCCAACTCGAAATAGCCGAAAGTGTTTGCCCAACTGAAAGTAAGTCAAATCTCGATAGATGGCTCTGGCCCGCCATGGCAGAGTGTGGAGTCGAGTCAAACATTGTTGGGATTTCATCAAATTCGCCCTTAAATGTAAATAACAGTGCTACATATATATACAGTTTTCTTTTATTGTTTGTATAGTTTGCTTAATTTTTTTTCTATATATACATATATATATTTTTTTTATTCATTTTTAATGCCTTTCGCACAATGAAATGCATTTTGTTTGCACATTGCAAACAGGCGAGTATGACTGAGTGTAACTGTGTGTGTGTGTGTGTGTGTGTGTGTGTGTCTGGTTGCAGTCGTGCCAGTGTTACTTTTTTTTTACTGTTTTTTGCGCCACGTCAAAGAGTGTTAATCAACGAAATGGCATCATAAATAAAAATACAATTTCAGATAAATCCTATGATGCTTCAATCAAACAGGAGCAGCACAACAATTAGATAGAGCGAGAAGGCGTGTGTGGAGTGAGGGAGCGAGGTAGATCAATACTCAATTTCATTTTATTTAAACAATAAATAAAATATTGTCAACATAATAAAATAAATTGCATTGTACAACAGCAGCAAAAAAAAAAATGTTGAGCCAACTGAAATAATAAACTGCGAAAATTCAAATGGACTTGAATTGCCCTAGGCCAAACGCTTTTTTATAAGCAAAATTAAACAAAAACAAGCTGCAGTCAGGCTTTACCGACTGCCGTATACCCCCTCACGGCCATTACTCGATAGCACAACAAAATAAAAAAAAAGTAAAAGTTGTTAAATTTCGTTTTTCGAATTTAGAGTTTAAATTAAAAATAAAAAAACAGCTATTAAAAATTAATATTATTGCTAGTTTCAGGCTAAATTATCTATTCAGCTTTAGGTAAACTTAGCTGTGTAGCTGGATCTAGATCTAATAGACCTGGGCCTTATAGATTGGCTGTACAGCTTCAAGCTAAAGCGAGATTAGACATATTTACTATTTCTACTACTATTATGGAATTTAGAGCTAATTTTAATACATGCAAAAATCATAAAGCAATTATTTGAATTCAAAGAGTTTAAGGCTTCATTTAACACATGCTAAAAAAATTAAGCTTTCATTAGAATTCGCAGTTGGATTCATTAAATTCATTATTAGAGCCTATAAGGTAGATTCCATATAGCTACATAAAAAGTAGGTCTAGCTTTACAGTTCTTAGCTTGATTATATATAATTCGTTCATTCTCAGTCTAGGGCTAGTTTCAGTAAATTAATATAAATTTAACTTGTTAATTCTAGAAATGGATTCGCTTCATTTGCATTAATAAAACTCAATCAAATTCAAATAGGCTAATTTCATGAATGCATATATAGATATGCATATATAAAATAGTTTATGGCCTTTCATTAACACCCATCTCTCAGCATTCCAGGCTCAGGTTTGTCTCTATCCCAAAACATAGTGTAATACCTTCCTTTAGGGGTCGTCTTCAGTTTCTGGTAAAGCTAAAGTTCAGAGGGGACCAAATCTAGACCCGTATCATCATAATTCTGCTACAATTTGATACAGAACCCATAGACCCCATTGAAGAAAGAGACAAACTTTCAAGAGGAGCAGAACCCACTCCATAATATATAACTGTAAAAAAACTGAGCATACAAAATGACGAAACCCATAGAGGTAAATGGGTAACCGGAGTACCCACATAACAGCAAAAATAAAAAAAAGTCATCGACTATGTGTAACCCAGATTCGCGTTCCTCTCGAACAAACCTCGTCCATGGCATACATATCTGAGACCTATAGAGAACTGATTGTATTATTACAGATATACACATATATATATATATAAGTATTACTTTTAAGATTTATATTTCCCCCAGGCAAAAGGCAACAACAATAACAACAACAACAAGTTTATCGAGAGCTCTCGCCTATCGAGCTGAACAAAAGAATCGAAACATAATCGTCGCATTGTTTTTGCTCGCGACTTTCATTTATTTTCAACGAATTTTTTTTGTTTGTTGCCTTTGTCTTAAATATAATCTCGATTTACATTATTTTTTTTCGATTTTTCGTTTTCTTTCTGTTTATAAAGAGAAAAAGTTTTAATAAAAATTAATTCAAGCGCACCGAGTTAAAACCGAAACAAACTTTGCACCATATTCAATATATAAATATTATATATGTAGAGTACTATATATAGAGTATACGTATTGTAAATATGTACATGTATATATCCTTCACTGCTGCATGCGTACTTGTAGTTGCGTAGCCCTCTTAGCGGCGTAGTACTGTACTTAGTGCTACTGTATCCTGACTTTATGACATTTGCTTGCTGTATTTGCATTTACACAGAGCACAATTCCACTTTTTATTAACAATTTCTTTGTGTCGTTTGCATTTATTTGTATGATTTTCTTTTTTTTTTTTATGTTGGTTCCGACATACACTATCTGAATTTGTATATCGAAATGCAAGCCCCCTCCCTCGCCTCCTTTGTATTACTCAATAAATTTGCTTTATTGGGTAAATAAATAAAGTGACAGTCCGGCAAAGTCCAGGCCAGGCCGGGCGCTCAGTCAGGTTCGGTTCGGTTCTGTTCTGAATCGCTATTTATTGGTTTATAGCATTTTTCGGCGCTACTATTGACACGGCTCAAACGGAGCGGCGCGGTAATGGGGGCACGCCAGCTGGCTGTAGTCCCAGCTGCATTTGCATTTACTTTGTTTGCTTCTGTGCCAGCCCTCGTCCTCGCAGCGCTCTGGCTATATAGCTAGCAGCTGAGTCCATATTCGATTTTTAACTCAATTTTTGGATCTTTACAATTGCCAATTGGGTTATGTTTGCATTTTACAACACTTCAAGTGAATTTGAGCAAACATTAGTACATGTGCCTAGCCGGCATGGCTAGTAGCTTCTGCTATAGACACATGAATTTAGACTTTACATTAATAATGTGTTCAGCTTCTGCAGAAATATGAACTCAAATCCTATACAGTATTCCAATTACAGCTCAAAATGGATTTAGCCAGATTTCAGCAGCTCGCAACCACTGTACTAAAATGGCTACTCGGAATAAAAAAAATAACACTCACACGCGCAAAGAAAGCAAAACAAAAACTTTAATTATAACAGAAATTGAAGCGAAGCGTTTAATTTGCTATCTCTCTTTTGCTCGCTGTGTTTGCATTTGACTTTGTGATATTTGTTGCTAAGCTCTAGCTGCGCGCCGGCAGAGGCTAGAAACCGTTTGTCTGCCTGCAGCAACAGCAGCAGTAGCTTAAAGCTTTTAGCTCAACTCAACTAGTGAGAGAGAGATGGAGAGAGAGAGAGTGTGAGAGGGCAGAGACAGACGAGCTCATAGTGCGATTAGTCGGCACACACACACTCTTGCTCTTCCTCTCTCTCCCCCTCTAACGCTTACTCTCATTTAGTAGAGCGTTTCTGTGTATGTGTGTGTGGAGTAAACAGAGCCAGTTGCTGTTATTGGGCATTACGTTAATGAAAACTGTCCAGTGACTGCTAAGCTGCACCGCCCACTAAGGTAGGCAACACTTTTTTAATATCTATATACCCATTGAAATAATGGAAGTAAGGTATGCGCAGCAGTTTCTATCATACGTTTCAGTATGTGAAAATATCGGTAACTATCGATTACATTTTGGTGGTTCCAGCTGGCTGCTAAAAACCTAAAATTTTAAGTATATTTCGATCAACATGAATTTTTGATTGATTTTTTTGAAGTCACGTGGATGGCTCTTAATTTGGTATGTGAATTCAACTAAACACGTTTCTAAATTTCATTTCTATATCAACTTTTGCCGCTGAAGGACAGCTTCTCAGTCGATCATTCCTTTTTCAAATATATATTTCTTTATTATTATTTTTTACTGCAATCTCTCTGTTTGTTTGCTGTGTAATGCATGCTTTAGCCGCTAGATAACTGCACCTGCACCAGCACCCGCCCACATTACCCACCATCCCCATCCACCTCATATATGTATATGTACATATACATATATACATTTTCTTTTTCGATGTATTTTCTTTAGTTTTGTTCGTTTCCAGCTATCAAAATATTTGATATAACAAATGAAAAGAGTCAGCTTAAGCAGCCAAAAATGTTAACTAATTGCTAAATGTTATCTCTTCCTCCTCACACATACACACACACACACACACACACACACATTCACAACAATCTAATGCAATGGGCAACCGCAAAACCCAATTCCAACTAATTGCTCCTGAAATATCCGTACACCCCGATTTCATATCCTTGGCCAAAAACCCAACAACTTGCAAAAACTTGCGCCAACGACCAACGACCGACAACAACAACAACAACAACAAATAAACAAACAAACAACAACAATGAAAATGGCGTCAAATTGCGCTGACATCTGACGACAACACCGAAACGCCTGGCGCCTGCAACCGGCTTTTTCGGCTTGGCTCCGTCATTTGGCAACTGAAAACTGAAAACTGAAAACTGAAAACTGGGAACTGGGAACTGGGAACTGGGAAACTGGGCTCCTCCATTGTCAACGACAACGACAACGACATCGACACCAACAAACGACAACTTTTGTATCGTTCACAAAAAAAAAAAAAAAAACACTTTGACTTACCCGTCCCGCCCTGCCCCGCCCACTGTCCAAACAACCGCCCTCGATCCATAACAAAACGCCAACTGGCTTCACCGCAAACGAAACTTTCAACTAAATTCTAATATATCCGCAAATCGATTTCAACAAACTATCGGGTAAAAAAATGGAAACAAATGGGGAAAACCCAACGAAAATTGGTGAATGCGGCATTGATGGCGCTGCCAATGGACCAATAACTGCTGCAACAACAACAACAACAACTCGTCTACGATGTAACGATGGCATTGACTATGTGCTGTAATGACAATGACAATGCTAATGACAATGATTGATCAACCATATTCAATATTGGAATGTGCGCTGTCTGCGGCTCAGGTCGCCTGGATTAAGGCCGATGCCAAGGCCATTCTGGCCATACACGAGCATGTGATCACGAACAATGATCGATTATCGGTGACGCACAACGATTACAATACCTGGACACTGAACATACGGGGCGTTAAGATGGAGGATGCCGGCAAGTATATGTGCCAGGTGAACACAGATCCCATGAAAATGCAAGTGAGTATGTCACAGATATGCAATATACTATCGATTGCTGTTATCGATTATGTCGATAACTAAAATATATTATGTGAGAGGGCTTAAGAGTAGGGAGGCAGCTATGAAGTAAGGCAAATGGTGTTGCTGATTGATTAGCTATGTAGGAGATGCTCGTCTCCATGCATTTGCTGTTATCGATAACCAATCTGATATTATTATATACAACCTGATGAAATGAAAGGGAACAACATGTGACTCTTGCTAGGTATTCTCTTGTGTAATTGCTATTTCAGCACGTCACGTTACTCTTTTATCGATAATTATCGATAGCTATTTAGCTGATATAATAGTATATAGAAGGTATTTTCGCTGCTTAAGCTTTAGAGTTCCAGTTACACAAAAAATTGTTAAATTCGTAACATTTTCAATTTAAGAATTTCAATTATTTGGCCGAGTTGATTTTGCATTCTATTCCGATAATTGCAATCGCTGTTGAATTGTTGATCCGAGCTGCCAACTCAGCGAATAGAAAGAGAGAGAGAGAGAGAGACAGAGAAAACAGAGCAAGATAAACAAAAACAAAAGAATTGCAGCTAAATAAATGTGTTTGATGCTTGTGCAATTGGCCGAATGCACACGATTGCAATTCGCCATTTCGCTATGGTCAAACAGCTTTGATACACTGCACAAAATTGGTGAGAACTTGTGTTGATTCACTCAAATACTCCAGCTGCAGATAATCGAAATAGAGCATAACGAATTTCAAATTCAATGACAGAGAAAGTTAATCAAGTAAATTAGCCTAAATTCAATAAGAAATATTAAATATAGCTAAGCTGGGCTTGCTCGACTGATAGATACCCCGTGCTGATCGCATTGAATAAGTTATTGGACTGGAAACTAATTATTTGATTTTTCGATTTAAGGGCGAACTAAAAAAATGAAATCCTAACGAAATGAGATTACTTTAGGGCTGCACATGTGCTACTGTATGTGTGTGTGCGTGTGTGTGTGTGTTTGGGCAAGCGGTTAGCAAGGACACTTGCCGCCATTTAAATGCAATATTTAAACAATGAAATGCTTTAAAGATAAAAATAAATAACAAACAATGAGGCTGCATTTGCTATATGTGTGTGCCCATATGTGTATGTGTGTGTATGTGTGTGTGCTGACAGCCCTTGCAGCAATCGTCCATTAAATGCGGCGCGACGTGTGCAAAACGCTTGCGTTTTCAATTTCATTCCGTTCCGTTTCAGCTCGTTGCGTAGCGCTGAGCAGCGCCGTCCTCTGCAGCGGCAGTGGCAGTGGCAGCGGCAGCGGCAGCGCAATAAAATCAAGCGAATTGAGTGAAATGCAAATATGAGACAAATAAAAAGCAAACAGGCTGCACGCAGGCAGCCAAAAAGCTCGACACAGACAACTCGACTGCCTTTTAAGCCTTTAACGCAATTTTCTTTTTTCGTTTTCGTTTATTTTGTTTTCATTTTTACATTCTTCCATTGCGGCCTTTGGGGACGTTGACTTTATTTTTTATGACATAACTGTCAGCAGCAGCAGTAGCAGCAGCAACAACATTAAAGTAATTTACTGTAAAAGCTGACAGAATTGCATAAAGATTGCAATTAAATATCTATTAAAAAATGTATAAAAAAATATTTATCCAAGCAGAGATGTTACTGTTGCTTATTCTGTTATATTTGAGGAGCTCATCAGATTCGCTCATCCTATTCTGAGCTACTCACGCCTTCACAACAATGCGCGCCTCGATCAATGCTAATGTGAGAGCGAGAAGACTATATAGTACAGCAGGTACCGCAACATGGCATCATCTCATAGTAGAAAATGAAAGAGGCTGTAGCTGTTATAATAACTATCATACTGAATTCGATTGGTCATTTCTATTGTGCTACAATTCTTGTTCTATTTGCTTGGAGCGGCCATTAGGGCCAAAGCGAAGGAGTTGCATAGACATAAGAAGCACAGTGGAACTGCACAAACAGCAGCGAAAATAAAGATAATGAAATTATATATCAAAGCCATAGCAGTATGAGATGAATAAATTTCACACAATAATTATCAACGCAACTGTTTGAAAAATAATTATTAACGCAACTGTTCGAAAAACTGTCATACTGCGCTTCATAAGCCATTCTTGATTGGTGCACAAATCTGTGCTACTTTTATGCCATTTCGGCTTCACAAATGCTAATGAGGCTGAGTAAAAGGGATGGCATGAGTATTATTATGGCTGCAGAGAAATGGCGGCTGCATCAGTATGGCGCTAGACATGTGAATGATGGCGTCTGAATTTAGTTTCGCTAAAATAAATATGTTTAAATATAAAACTAGAACAAAATTAAAAATACGCATTTTTAGTTACTTAACACTGACATAAATTCTGATCTCTTTTAGACAGCCACCCTGGAGGTGGTCATACCGCCGGACATAATAAACGAGGAGACCTCCGGCGACATGATGGTACCAGAAGGTGGCTCTGCGAAGCTCGTGTGTCGCGCACGCGGCCATCCCAAGCCGAAGATCACATGGCGGCGCGAAGATGGCCGCGAGATAATCGCACGCAATGGCGTCCATCAGAAGACCAAAGGTGAGCGTGAAACATTTTGCTAAGCTAAACTTTGTGACCGACCGCATATCAGACTTGGCATAATGTTAACCTATTTTTTTTTCTTTTTTGTTTTCGCCGCACTTAGCCATACTGGTGGAGGGCGAAATGCTGACGCTGTCGAAAGTCACGCGATCGGAAATGGGCGCCTATATGTGCATCGCCTCCAACGGAGTGCCACCAACTGTGAGCAAACGCATGAAGCTACAGGTGCACTGTGAGTATATACGTACACTCTACATGTTAGTTGAAATACCCTGTAAAGCATGCTGGGCTACCATGCAAGAATTAGTGTCTAGCAATATGCATAGATGCTTGTATATGAATAATATCTGTTATTTTCCTTAGAGTAGATCTGAGTGTACATATGAAAACGACTTTTAAAATAAAATAAAACTATGTAGAGGGCATTTGCTAGTCGTGCACTCGCGTCGCCAATAACTGCTTTGATTTATGAGCCAACGCCCGGTACTCGAATAATAATCATAACGTCCCACACCTAGGCGGATGTGCGTGCTGTGTAAGCGCGCACTCGCACACACACATCCAGCGGCACTCGGCTGCACTCCACTACAGCGCACTCACTTCACTGCAGTACACCCTATTAAGCACGGCACGGCACGGGACGGCACGGCACGGCACGACTCGGGGCAACACGGCAGCGTAAACGCAATAACGCGAACTGCAAGTGTTTCCGTTTCGATTTCCGCCTTCCGCCTACTCGAGGCAAACTTTGCAAATGCATTAGGACAGCGGCTAGCTGCGTGTCCTGCGGCGAATGGGAGGCGAAACGGGCGGCCGATTAGGGGGGTTTGGCAAAGGGGCGCCGCAGCGGGCGCTCGTCTAGACGTCACGTTTCTGTTGTAAAAGTTGAGCAGCTTTTGGCTTCGCCTGGCTGGCTGCCTGGCTGGTATCATGTGATGTGGTAATTGTGAGTGGGGGCGGGTGTCGGGCAGCAAATGACACGCCCACAAACCGAACCGTAGCCCCACCGGAGTTCGATGTGCCAGCGGCTGCTGCAGCGCATTAAACTTAATGAATTTTTTTTGCAAAGGGACAACAAAAACGCTGCGAGCCGTCGGATGCCGGAGGGAGAGTTTCGTTAAATTGAAAATATGTGCAAGGCTATATACATACATGTGTGTGCGTGTGTGTGTGTGCTTATATTGTAGGTAAAAGATTCTATCTGCAATTTATATTGACACGACCAATATGTTCGCACCTCAAGAGCTGAAGCAGCAAGTCTCCTCTGCTTATCTCTAGAGAAGGCAACCACCCCCCCCCCCCCCCCCCCCCCCCCCCAGGCGCCCGCCCCCCCCCCGGGGTGTCAACCCGTCTCTGCTTACCCTGCCGCAAAAATTAATTTCCATTTTTTCCGCTTTTCTCTCAGCTGCCTCGGCTTCCTCTTCTTCTTGCTCAGTCTCTTGTTATCTTGTACTGCCATTTCATTCCATTTTCATCTCTGCTTCGTTTTGTCTATCAGCCATTCGTCCACATCCACCATCTACGGCCACGTTTGCTGTCCCCTCTTCCCCTTTATTGCTTTTTGGCTTTGCGACTGCGTCTCAATTTCAATTTAAAAACCCCATATGGGCGTAACTCTGACTGCTTCCCACTCCCACTCCCACTCCCTCCTGTCTCCTGACTCCTCCTGCTGCTGCTGTCTTTTCTGATTTCTTCTGGTCTCTGCTCGTTGCTTTTTGCTTTGCTCTTCGCCTTCATCTTCGTCTTCGTCGCCATCTTCTGCTTGTTTGTCTTAACCTGACAGCAACAACGCCAAACGCCGCCTCCGCCCTCGCGCTGGGGCCACGCCCCCCATGGGCACATTTACCGCTTGATTTCTTAAGTTGGCTCAGCGCTTTGCTTGATTGATTTTAATCAGAAAATTAAGTGGATCCTTGGCTTTTAAATTTCCACCAGACAAACAAGACAGACAGGCAGACAGCCTGTCAGCGAATGGCAAGAGCAAGAGCGAGACAGCGAGTAAATGGGGAGAGAGAGAGAGAGAGAGAGAGAGATTATGTGTGTTTACGTGTGTGTGAAGCTGTGCCTGAATGCCTGCCTTGTAGTCCTTAAAGCCATTCGACTCGACAGGCTCCAATTACTCAGAGACTCAAGCAGAAGCAGCGGAACTCATGCTCAGAAATTGCGTATATTTTTGGTATTTACTTGGTATTAATTAATCAGTATTTAGTGTGCAGTCAGCGATTGTCAGCACTGTCATTATTATAATCATTATCTTTTACTATCATCATTATCATTATCCATTATGATTATCAATTTATTATTGATTATCATAATGAGAATTTATAGTTCCCATATGGAATTGCATGACCTATTTTTGCTTCTGACGCAGTTTCATCGATTTACGCTTGTTAGCCAATCGCCGTTAGATCAAATAGATCGCGATGATCAAACAGAGGGAGCAGCTGTGCTATTCAACGCAGCTCGGACGATGTCTGTCTGAAGGGAAAGCGAGACGGTGACGCAATTGTTTTTGTCAACCAACTGGACAGACGGACAGCTTGAACTTGTAGAGGCTGAGCACACAGCTCAGCTGAGTCAATAGAAATGCTATAAAAGCTCCAAGTAGAGCTGGACTAACCCAAAGTCAGTTCCCAGCTGTGGGAGAGGCGACAGCATGCGCATCTACATACTCGTAGCACTGTGCGCTCTGGTGGCCGTTGCCGCGGCACACGGCGGTGGTCGAGGCGGTCCAGGTGGCTCAGGCGGTGGTCGAGGCGGTCCAGGTGGTACAGGTGGTACAGGTGGTCCAGGTGGTCCAGGTGGTCCAGGTGGCTCAGGCAGCCAAGCTGGCTTCGGTGGTCCAGGCGGTGGTCGAGGCGGTCCAGGTGGTCCAGGTGGCTCAGGCGGTGGTCGAGGCGGTCCAGGTGGCTCAGGCGGTGGTCGCGGCGGTCCCGGCAGCCACGGTGGTTTCGGTGGTCCAGGCGGCCGTGGTGGGTATTTTGGACCTGGTGGTCGTGGTCCAGGCGGTCATGGACCAGATTGTTGGCATGGCGGACACGGCAAACACTCCACTACCACCACCGAGGCCAGCACCACTGCAGGTAGCACCACTGAAAGTGGCACCACGAACGCCAGCACCACTGTATCTAGCACGAGTGTGGGCACCACCACCGATGCTCCCACCACTGATGGCTCTAACAGCGGCTAGGCTCATGCTGCCACAGCAGCTGGCTCTTCTTCTTATATAATAAAAACATGTATTGCTTATGCCACAATATATACCTATTCCCTTTCCCCTTACCTCTCTTTGTTGTCTTCTTTGGTGCCTGAGCTATTGCCTCGATAGTGCTTTCTTCAGTGTCCATCTGCCTTTCTCCTTTCTCATTTTTTCACGGTTTCTACGGGCTCTTCTGTGTTCCATGTTCCCCTCTGCTTCTTAGGCTTTCTCTTGATATTCGTTTCTGCATTTTAGTGTCATTTCTTTATCTTTCTCTGTTCGTTTTACTCTCCCTCTTCTCCTCTTACTTAACATTTTTTGACTTTCTCACCTGTTTATGATGTTTCTGTTATTTTTCTGTTATACTTCCTCGTTCAACCTCTCTCTCTATCTTTCTCTCTCTCTGTCTTTCTCTCTCTCTCTTTCTCTCTCGATCCTTTTTTTTCCATTTCTCTCTCTCCCTCTCTCTATGTCTCTCTCTCTCTCACTCTCTATGTCTCTCTCTCTCTCTCTCTCTATGTCTCTCTCTGTCTATGTCTCTCTCTCCTTGTCTCTGTCTCCCCTTTACTTTCTTTTTCTCTGTCTCTCCCTCTATATCTCTAGATATCGAAACTTTTCGTTACTCTCTGTCTGTCATTCGTTTTCTCTCTCGTTACTCTTGCCTCTTCCACTGTCCTTACCTGCTTATTTCTATCATTTTGCTTTCTTCTTCTATATAGCGCTCACTCACACTTGCCCTCTGTCTTTCTAGCTCTCACTCTCTCAATCCCTATCTTTATCTACAACTCTCTTCTTGCTTTCTTTTATCTCTCAATCTGTTTCTCACTCTGTTGAAAAAGAGAAGATTGATTTCTACTCTTTCACTTGCTTTATACTCTTTTTCATAGTCTGCTTCAAGTCGCGTATAATCAATTTATAACTGAGAATAGTCAACAGCAAATTACGCATACGCCGCGTGTAAGCCTTTGTAATTTCAGCTGCTGTTGCTGCTGCTGCTGTTGTTGTTGTTGTTGGAGTTGAGGCTGAGGCTGCTGCCTCTGTCGAAGCAGCTGTAAAACTCTATTAGAACAAATTACATTTTCAATAAGTTGATGGGCAATGCGAAAACAGCAACAACAACAGCAACAAGGAACGGCGAGCCACAAGTATGGCGCAGGGATTACAACACGAGTCAAGACAAACAACACATGGCATATGCTACATGACAGATACACACACACACACACACACACACACACACACACACACACACTTGAAGCATGCACAAATCCAATAAATTGACCAATAATGAACGGTTGAACGCAAGCGATGCAACGGCGCAGCTAACAAAGTGACGGCAGCGGGCGGGGCAGTGGGGCGAGGGGGCAGGCTGGGGGCATTTGGGCATGCCATGGCGGACAGCTGGCCGAAATGAGAGCAAGAAAAATGAAAAAACCAAAGTTGAAAAGCCAAAAACAATGATGGTCAGCGGCAAAGCCCAAGACAATGCCAAAAGCAACAAAACAAAAGGGCAAACACGAAAAAACGGAAAACAAATAAAAAACGAGTAACAAAAAAAAAAGAGCAAGAAAAATTGCAAAGCAAAAACCACAAACTGACACGAGCGAAAAGAGAAGACGGGAGGAGAAAAGAGCGAAGAGAGCAGAGCAACGGCAAAGATTTACAGGGCACGAAAATACCCTAGAAAAAATTAAGCAAAGTTGTAAATGTTAACGAGAACTGGATTAAAAATTTGGCAAAATATTTGGCGTAGAGCCAGCGGCCGCTTAACAGCATGATAGCGGACAGTTAACATAAACTTAACATTCTCTCTGAGTAAGCTGCAGCTAAGACTTGCATAGTCAAATGTTAATGTCATGTTAACCAACTGCGATTTATGTGAGAAACAAATCAACATTAGTTGAAGTGGATATTACGAATGTTATCAAAATAACATATGCTCAATTGAAGCTATACGTATGTTAACTGAAAGCTGTTAAGAGTTTATGAACTATATGCAGTTAATAGAACTGAGCAGTATGTTAGCAAAAAGTGACTAACAGTATATTAACAGTGTCTAAGAATGCCAGAAATGAGTTAACATAAGCTTAACATAAGCTAGATTTCGGTTAGCTAAAAGTTGCTAAAACTAAATATAAGCTAAATATATTATATAAAAGGCCGTAAACAGTTTAAATAATGGTAACAGCATGTTAAGCTGTTAAGAGTATGTGAGCTATATGCAGCTGATAGAACTGAACAGTATGTTAGCAAAAAGTGACTAACAGTACATTAACAGTGTCGATGAATGAAAAATTAGTTAACATAAGCTTAACATAAGCTAGACTTATGTTAGCTAAAAGTGGCTGAAACTAAATATAAACTATGTTAGCAATGGGCCTTAAGCAGTGTATATAATGTTAACAGTATGTTAAACCAAATTGAGCTTAGCTGAATATGTGAATCGCATGGGTGGACACTCAAAAGCAATGCCCCTCTGTCTCTCACCCACCGCTAGAGCAGCTTATATGCTCGATTGCATCGAGTAGCAAAGTGCAAGCGGCACAAAGGGCTGCACAAAGGAACAAAAAATGTTTGGCTTCGTGTTTGGGGCTAACAGCAAGATAATTCATTTTCAATTAAATACGTATCAGCTGACGTGGCTGCCATTAACAAATAACGGCATTTCGCATGCGAGTCACAGCATTGCGATGCTCACGCTCGGAACCAGTTCGCCAGTTAATTGGCCGCTCGAGGGTCTCGCAACTAGTTGCTTAGCTGATGGAGTCCATTGGCAGCCCCGATGATTATGTTGACCAACTTGTTTCAGCCAACCCATTCACACTCACTCACTACTCATTGTCTCTCTCTCTCTTTCTCTCTCTCTCTCTCTATCACTTTGCAGTTCATCCGCTGGTGCAAGTGCCAAATCAATTGGTTGGCGCCCCGGTTCTAACGGATGTCACATTAATTTGCAACGTGGAGGCATCACCGAAGGCCATCAATTACTGGCAGCGCGAGAACGGTAAGTCCTTTGGCTCTGCCTTATTGCTCTGCTGTCGTTTTATTCCTTTATTTTCCTACGCTTCCTCTTCTGTTTCTTTTGCTTTTGCTTTTGTTTTGTTTTTGCTCTTCGAAATAACTCGCTACGCATTGCATGCCCTGTAAACGGGCAACTTGACGAGGGCAATGCCTGATACTTGGTAGCTCTCATCGAAGCCACGAAACCATTTGCAGCTTAGCGATAATTTATCGATAACTCACTGTAATTCACTGATCAGGCAAGCATTGCCATTCTGTGAGCATTAAAAGCAATTGTCTATCGGACTGAGCACGCAGTTATCGAGCAATTAAGTAAGGTTGATCAATTTCAATAATTAGGAAAAAAAGTATCGAAATGTGATTGATTGATTGATGATTGTTGCACGAGCACATGAAAACAATTGTATCTAATACGATTTTGATATATAGAGCGCAATTTATATATGACTATGAGCAGCATATCAATTAATCTCTATAATAATATTTATCGATAATAATCGATGTATTTTATATTATTTATTGATTTATTAACTGTTGAATTATAATCAATATCCAATAAACTTAGGTTCAGTTGCATAGCAACTGTAATCGATAAATCTCATGATATATCGATAATTTGATAAATATATATTATGCTTGAAGGCATACAACTATATACAAGGTATTTCTAGGTTGTAGATTTTTTTCTACTAGTGAAGCTTTTATCTGTTTTTTGCGCATTTTCCATTTGGAGGCCAGACAGAGAAAGCAAGAAAAAGATGGAGATAGAGACAGGAAGAGGGAGAGTGGGTGTAGTAGTATTGGAAGAAGTCAGAAGCTTTATAAACCCTTCAATGCCGCAATTTGTCTTTATTTGGTTCGTGTTCGATGCTCAAATATTTTCTTGTTGGCTCACAAAGTTCTGGAGCCTGGAACCCTTAGCCGGTTCGTCTGTTTTCCCTCGATTTTCAATTTTTTTTTTCTTTGTATTGCTCCTTTTTGTTTGTTGCTTTTCTGTGTGGCTCTTGTCAAGTGCATTTGACGTATATTGCAAACGTGACAGCACGGCACGAGCTGTCGTCGCTGGCAGCACAAATGTCATCATCAAAGTGAACTTTTCGCTGCTGCTGCTGCTGCTGCTGCTGCTTCCTCGCATTTCGCATGTGGCGATTCCCAATTTGATGTTCGACTTTCGTTGCAGGCGAAATGATTATAGCCGGCGATCGGTATGCCCTCACCGAGAAGGAGAACAACATGTACGCCATCGAGATGATTCTTCACATTCGACGGCTGCAGTCGACTGACTTTGGCGGCTACAAATGCATCTCGAAGAACAGCATTGGCGACACCGAAGGCACCATACGACTATACGGTAAGCTATCCAGCTGTTGAATACCCATCAGAACTAGTTCTTTAGTGGAGTAGCCATGAACAAGATTCCAGTAGTTCTCTGTTCACTGTCTAACTGATTTTTGTAGGTGGAAGAACTAATAGTTTATAGCATAAGCTTAGTATTTGGAACTAGTTCATTTGCATTCTAGTTCCTTGTCTACTTAGACAGATTTCTTAGACAGATACCTTCTCTAGTTTGTTTTAGTTCTTGTTCCATTTTCATAAAGTATTTAGCTCTTTAGCTATCAACTTAAAACTAGTTCCTTTTTGAGCTCACCAGCAGAATCATATTAAGATTATCTTTAGATGGAACCAGTTAGCTTGTTAGAGGTTTCCTGCCGTGCTTTTTCATATATGAATACTATTTCGGTTCACTTGAACAAGTTCATTGATTTTTACTGCATTTCTTTTGGCGTTTTTTCCTTAACTCAGAAATGGAACGTCCCGGCAAAAAGGCGCAGCGCGAAGAGGATCTCAACGAAGTGACGGTAAGTGAAGCAAACAATGCACACTCACGCACACACCAACACGTTCACCCACCCACCCAACCACACACACACACACATACACACTTGTAAGCAAACATATGATATTGATATGAAATGAAACAAAACGCTTTTGTCCCACGTCTCGAATGCCGCAGAAGAACGAGGTGGTGCTCAAGGAGAACCGCCACGAGGATGGCTCGCGCAATCAGAACGGTCGCCTCTACAAGGACCGCAGCCAGGACGCGGACATGGGCAGCGGAGCGGCCACGGCGCGCCAGCTAATCAAGCCATTTCTATTGGCACTATTTGTATTATTCACAGCCAATGTGTGCGGCTCCTGCTGCGGCTGCGGCGGCTGCTGCTGCTGCTACGCGCTGGCAAATGGCAGTGGGCCGGTGGCAAGGGGGCAGGGCAACGGTTCGACTGGGGGCGCAACAACAAGGACAATGGCTGCAGTCGACGTCGACGTCGGCGACGGCAGCTGCAAAGCTCGTTTCATATTATAGCTTAATTAAATTGTAATTATAAGAATGCGCTGGCAACAACAAAAGACGACAACACACACGCATGGCCAAAATTGGATATGCCACGCCCCCTACACACACACACACACACACACACACATACACACAGGCAAACATGAACAAAAGTTTGAAGAGTTTCATCATATTTTCTTTTATTTTTTTCTTTTTTGGGGCTCAAGGTTTTTGGTCATATTTCAATATGAAAGCCAGAAAAAAAAAAAACAAACGAATAAATAAAGAATGAAATTGATGTAAACGTAAGTAGTTAAGATTAAATGGAAATTGAAAAACAACGCGTTTAAATGTTACCTCGTTACAGAAAATAAAACCAAAAGCTAACTAAATATTTAAGATAAGATGAGAAAGCGAAACCAGCAAGAAAATGTCAAAGTTCATATGTTACTCTCTCTGTGTTTTCCCCTCGGTTCCACAGGCTTTAGCTACTTCAAGTATTACAAAGCAAAACAAACAAAAGTTCGGCTCGTCGAAGCTTAAAGACTCTAGCAGAGCAACTGGATATCATATAAAGAGGTGTATTGGAATATTTGCAGATCTTGGAGCTGAGAAACAATCGATGGAGTTGTCTGAAATACTTATCTGATATTTGTCTGTGGGTGATTTGTGGCGAAGAATTTCACTAAAAGTGTTTTAGGATTTCAATATATGGCTAGCCCTAGTCAGCTGTGTACTTGGTATACGATCTAGGCTACATTGCTCACCGATTCATTTTCTCTGAGTATCTTCACACTAATAAACGATAATCAGAGCAATTCAAAGGAAACCATTCCGAACAGCACATCTCTCTAAAGTACAATTACCCTATGTATCCCTTGAGTTATCAACAGACTCTGCAAGAGTAAAACGAAAATAAACTAAAGACCCAATCAAATGCATACTATAAATAATCTTGAATATGATAAACAAAACCCCCAACTGGATAATCCAAAATCGAACATAGCTTGGCCCCATAAAGCCCCTCATACATATATTTGTCTATAAGTCGCATTTCTGTTATCATTTTCGTTCGACTTCATAATGGGTAGGTTAGGGGTCTCTGTATATACAACTAGTTATACTATATATACGGTTCAGCTCAAATCATATTTATGATAAATATTTATATACAATTTATGAGATACGATATATATTGTAAATATTCGCACCTGTAGTGTTCTTAACATCCTGTTAACGCATTGCGCGCATTTGTTCATGAAATGCAATTGGTTCCATTTACATTAGCTGAAGCTCAGATTTTTTCATTTGACAGTTAGACTGTTAAGTTGGCGAACTGGTTCACCAGATGAACTACTACGAAGAGCAAACTCAATATACTAAATAAATTTTTATTTATATTTTTATTATTTTATTTTATTTTTTATTTTATCAGGATTAAATATTATAATTTATCAAAACTAGTTCATATGAACCAAGTTAAATTGACAAATTTAATGGCGCCAACCTATACAAATGAACAAGTTCAAGTGAACCTCAAGCTACCGCAAAGACAGCTCTTCGAAAAGCCAATCAAAGAGTATGTTAAATGAACCAGCTAAGTTGCTCCAACTGAACTAGTATGGACATTGTACGAGTTTAAGATTTTTTTTTTAATTTAAATTACTGAAATTAATTTGGAACCAGTGCAATCGAGACATGAGCAAATGCCAAGAAACTCCCAGCTTTATTTTGTTAGGTAATCAATCCAAATCCAATTCCTTCGCTCTCTCCCCAAAGGACATGCACACACGCATACGTCTATGTGTAGATGTGTGTGCGTGCATGTGTGACTATCTAAGGCGTGTTTCAGCTTAGCTCCCTGTTTGATATTGTGTAAAAATATTTGCCGTAAAACGTAAAGAAAATGTGCCAAAAATGCATCTGAGAAAAAGAAAACAAAAACAATTATAAAAGAAATATACATATATGTATATCAATGGATAATGTATGTATGTGTGTTCGATATTCAATATACCTACATTAAAAAAAAAATATATATATATATGTATATGTATATGCATGATACATATTATGTGTATATATGTGGATAGCAAAATACTCGAAATACATAATGCAAAACTCTTGTGACACGATTCGGCAATACGCTAGGGTATACGCAGCCCCAATATAGTAATCTAACGGTTAAATCAGCCTGACTCTGACTTAATATACGTACCACAAATGTATTAGCGAAATGGAAGAGAGAGAGAGAGAGATAGAGAGAGAGATAGAGAGAGAGAGTGAGAGTTGAAAAGAGAGAGAAACACAGCGAGGCAGGGAGAGAGTTCAAGAAATACATTTTACAAATACTAAGAAAAAACAAGTTTATATACTAAATATATATACAATACAGACATATATATACAATATTATATATATGTATAAAGATTTTTTTTTTTTGAGATAAATGATATCGCATAGCAAATCAAAGTTACATATATAAGTATAAATAACAGCAACAATTTAGCAACAATTGAAAACGAAGAAATTGAAAAAAAAATACTCGATTTTAAGATAAGTTAAAGTTAACTAAGTTCTTCATGTGACAGATCCATAGAAAGAAGATAAATCTATCTATATAAATACACTCAAACACACACACACACTCACAGAAACATACAAACATACATACATACATATATATATATACCAGAAAAACGTAATGCATTCAATGTCTACGCTACAGAAAATTAAAAGAGAAAAAAAACGAAAAAAAAAAAAAACATTTCAAGAGTCAAAATACTCAGATACAAAAAATAATTAACAAAACTATAAAAATATGAATGGAAATAAAAATAAAAAAATATAATACTAAAAGAAATACTTAAAAATCTCAGCCACAATTCATAGATCGGTGCAATTCTCCTCTTCTTCTTCTTCTTCTTACAATTCTAATTTTTAGCCTATTTTCCATGTATATAAAAAATATTGTTTGTATTTGTATTGTAAGCTCTGATCAATGAACACAGCCCCAAGCAGTAGCGAAACGAATACCCAAAGCAAATATGAAATAAACAACAACAGAACAAACTGAAACTGAAACAAATAATTGCAAAATAAATGAGAAATAAATATGGAAAAAATATATATATAAAGAAATGGAAAATGAATTATTTATGGTGCGTGGGAAGCTGCTTCATTATTAATTTCTTAGGCAATTCATGAATTTCGATTGATTTACAATGGATAAAAATATATGGAACTACGTTGAAATGGTATGGAAATAACACACAGTCTAACAGGAGAGTCATTAGGTGTGAGCTGGCTGTAACATAGTACTTAACATTCTTTTTGATGTGGGCTTTATTACATTTATTATTTAACATTTACTGTTAGCATGTGCCTTAATGGTTCTTTACTGTATATGACATGCTATTTGATATGAACTACAACTACAGCTGCTAGACGAGCGCTAACATGGCGTTAACATAATTATGTTAACATGTACCTAGCATTATTGACATGTACCTAAACATGAGCCATAGGCTATGTACACTTTAGCATGCGCTTTAAGAGAACAACGTCAAGTTGTTGTTAGCAAAAGGCTTTGTAAATTCCATTTGAACTGGCTCAAGCACCAGCTGAAGCGCTTTCGACACGGACACGGACACGTAACGAAGTCTTATAGAAACGAAAAGTTGAAATTCGCGAACAGCTTGCCAGAGCGTCCTTAAAGTCAAGGCCAATTAAATGTCTAGATGCAACTCTTTTCATATACATATGTACATATGTATGTAATATGCATATGTGTGTGTGTATACATATAACTTATTTTGTGCTCTGCTCCGAGTGTAGCATTTCATGCGCAAACATTTGACACTCTGGCAACGCTGGCAGCGCTGCCATCAACTTGGATTATATTAAAGTTCAGCAACTTTGGCATTAAGTCCCGACTTGCCAGGCACTTCAATTTGATGCAGTTGACGAGGCCAGAATGGTTGGCGAGGTTGTCTTCGGCAAGGCATACTCCATCCAGCCTGAGCAGCACTCCAACCACCTCTCTCTCATTTAGCTCGTGCCCCCAACCCCGCTCGCATGACACCGTGGCAACTCTGGCCGCGTGGTTTGAGGAGCTTGAGCTGCGCTGGAGACGACATCAAATCATTAGCAGTGCATACAGCGTGAAACCAGACACTCACACAAACACACATAGACACATCAACACACACACACACACACACACACATAGAGAGAGAGACACACACGCATAGCTAACTCAGTCACATGGTTATGCAGATGAATTTCAACTATTAGACAAACGTGAGACGCAGCTTCAAGTTAAGGCCATGCCCATGCTCCAAATGCCGCCTACTTTTCCACTAGCTCTCTGAATATTTGGCTGCCAGTTGCCAGTTCAGCCAACTGGTTCAGATTCGAGTACTCTCTGACTCTGACTCCGACTCTGTCTCTGGTTCCATTCTTGTGAAATCTTTGACTGCCAGCTCCGTGCTCTGTCCCACCCCCCCATTTCCCCTTGCTCGTGCCCAACAATTGCGAAATGTAAAAGATGCAAATGTTAAGATATTTTTTCCATTTGCATTGGGACACACTCTCTCGCCCGAAAAGCAACAGCAAAACAGGAAACGACTGCGGCTCAGGCTCAGGCAGCATTGTCACACAAATTATTCATTTTGCACTCGTTTCTTTGCACTTGTCGTCTGAAATACCCTGTAAATTAAGCTGACGCGATGTGGGCTAAGAAATATTAAGCGAGGTAATATTACTAAATAGGAGTTTGTTTGGAAGTGTTGGCCTTGATATACAAGATTTGAGTGACAGAAGCTGGCCTTCATCTCGTATGATCTATGGAAATCCTTTGCATATCTCAAGATCTTTAAGAGGTACACCTGACAAGCTTGGGATGTATGTCCTATAAAACGCAAACCTGATTTAAGTAACATTAAACTTCGCGTGGGTTCATTTTTTGAGATTAGAAATGGAAATGATTGTGTTTATACAAAACAGAAAAATTTTATGGAGATCTACTA